GGGAGGAACAAGCTCGGACCGAATAAGGGGTGTCATGAACCAACGTTGTCCTAATTTTCGTAAACACGTCAGTTGCATATCCAGTTTCGGATGGGGCTGCGTTAACTGGAATGACACCTTCATGAACATAAACCTGTACAGTTGTTTATATGCTCGAAGAAATCGTGCAAAAATAATCTGAGTTTTTAAGTATTACCTGTGCCAGTGCTAAGATGCAGCAAATGTCATCAAAAATGGAATGCTCACTAGATAGAAAGAGAGAAAAGAAATTTTTGCTTGATGAAGTTTATTAGGCCTTGCCTCATTTAAGGTATCTACCCCACATCGTTAATGCAAACACATGTATATTATAAAAGGCTCTTTTGCAAACTCGTCTGCGTTGCCCTCTTTTTCCCTTTTATGCTATAAGAAAGAACAAACGTAGCTTTTGCACCTGACTGCGCATTAATACTAGGGAGTTGCAGTCATTGTGAAGTAGCGAGTGAAAAACAGTTTTCCTGGAAGTAGAGACTGTATGGTCCGCATGAAATTAACGTCTTGTTCAATTCCGACTAAGTTTAGACTGACGGACTTATACTATCCAATAAAAACATGTCCACGCACAACGTCCCGTTTTTTATTAAATTCCTTAAACTTTGTTCTCGTTTACCTCCCAGATAGACCCATGCAGTCCGTCGACTTCAAGCGTGGACCTCGGTGGCGTTAGCAAAGACAGAAGACAGAAAAAGGGGCAGAAAACCAGCAACGCAAACGAAAATAACAATGTAACTGGTAAAATGAGGCGTTCTAGAAGCCGCAGCGCTTCGCGAGGGAGGATAGGAGGAACTACCTGCCGAACTTCAAGAACTGCGAATGAAGTTGACGAGGTTGATTCTTGTGAGAATTTGTTTGATATTCTTGCCAAGTTGTATCATGCAGAAACCAGTAATTGTTAGTTACAAGTCAATGAGAACTAGAATGACCCTTCCTCGCTTATTTTTCCGCGCTTATAATTTTTTTCCAACCCCACAGACCGCTATTCCAGTTTCCTTTATCCCATTACGTAATAATTAACTATTAGTCAATGCTTGCTAGAATGCACCTTAAACAACATGGACTTGCCCTTATTATTTCCCGTAATCAGAAATAACCAGCAAAAGCTACCCCAAACAAGCCTAACATTCATTTCAGTGTTCCTTACATGAGCGTAGCACCAATCAGCAGAGTAGACCTAAGATCATTTTATGCTAGTTTCAAGGAAAGGCGTCCTTTGGGAAAATGAGTAAATTTATTCAGTAAATG